CGAAACCTCTCTTCTGCGCACTGATCGCGAGGAACCCAGGCAATGTCCTCGTTAAGTTCCCTTTAGTCAAGCCAGCGCGGAAAAGAGAGCCCAAAAGGAGCATCCAGGCCCGTGGTTTGCTTCGTAAAAACGGAGACCAGGGGCCTGGGGAAACAAGACGAACAGCCCAACAAGGCCGTTGAGCAGGTGCTGGCGAGCTTGTACCATCTCCTCTCCCCCCTTCATCCCTCCGTATAATTTAATAAACCCCATCATAATCAATTTCGGTAAGCGTAATACGGCGTACGGACGGGGGGCCATGAAGCTTGAACGTGTCTGAGAGCCAGTCTCCGCATCCCAGCCCCTGGTCAAAGAATAAAATGGATGACCTGCTTGAACCAGCCTGTAAGGTTAGTGATAGGATGCTGGCTATCGACCGGGATGGGCTCGCCTGCGGTGTTATTACTATGCGAGTTTAGTCCGAGAGAGAGAGAGGAGGGAGAGAGAGAAAGACGCGGTGGTGCATCATTGGGCGAGATGAAGGCAGGGAAGAGAGAGACAGACAGAGAGAAACCATCTCCATCCCTCGTACGGCTGTTGTTGGCTGTCTCTGGCTGTCCAAAATCCTCCGGCCAACCGTCTTTTCTTTTTCGCCCGCTCGACTAGCTGGCGACTGCTGCTGCTCCTGCTGCTGCTGCTATCCGCGGTTCTCTTCATCTCCTCGTCGACACAAGCCTTTTCGCCCAAGCCTCTCGCAGTGCTTGTAGCCGCCCAAGCACCGCCTAAGCAGCGCAACCGCCTTGGCGACGGCTGAAGAACCAACGTCGGGCATCATCATCATCATCACCAGCATCACCACCAGCATCACCACCACCAACGTCGAATCAGAGTACATCGACAGGCAGAGCAAGTGATCGCCTGCTTGTCCGCCGCTCGCCGCCCTCCTCTTGCTGCCTGCCCCATGGGGAACGGTGTCCGTCTCCCGCCGAAGGGCGCATCTCACTCGCCCGCACAGCTGGATTAACTTAACTGCCTTACTTACTTACTGGACTGATTATATTACGATGTATTACCGGTTAGTCAGCGCGAAAAAAAACTCTTCCTGGGGTGACATCGAGGGATGGGATGTCTCTTCGCCGCTGGTCTTGCGGTCTTGCGGTCTCGCGGATAAGCCGGCATGGGCTGTTGCAGAGAGTCGCGCGCCTCGCCGTCGTCGCGGGAGGGCCGACTACTCTCGCCTCTTGCAGCTGGAGAGAGAGAAGATAGTTACTCCGTACTCGATGATAAAAACAGACCAACGAAAAGAGCCAAAAATCTACCTCGGCTAACTAGCTAGCTGGTTAGATTACTTACAGTACTTACTTACAGTACTGACTGACTTCGTTACTTACCCACGGCCTGGCTCCACCGAGAAGACGAAGAAATACGAAACTTCCGGGAAGAAAAGAGAAGACGGAGAGAAGCAGGAGAGAAGAAGCCAGAAGAAGAGCAAAAGGAAGACGGTACCCCAGCATGCAGCCGGCGCATAAGTCAGCACTCTCACATCCATACCACGGCTGTTCTGTCTGTACGAAGACACGAAGTCTATGTGTGTGCGAGTGTGCGTGCGTGTGGCATGCCATGCATGCGCCTTCTCCAGACCTCCATCGCTGATCCTTTACTCCCTGCGCGGATGCGACCTTCGTCATGTTGCATCCTCGTTCTCTCGCAGACCTGGGGACCTGGGACTCGGCCTCGTGTCTTGCTACTCTACGGAGGACGCCTGCTATCACTCCCAGAAGGCTGCTATCTTGCTCTGCCTCGCATCTCTCTCTGGTTGGCGGTTCAGAGCTAGCTGTTATCTGTGGTTCTGTGGCCTGTTTGTTCCTCCTTACCCGAAGCCGAGTTCCCCTTCCCCCACCCCCCTGGCCATACGCCTGTAATATTAATTATGCTTGTTCCTGTACGGATCCACCGCCTGCTTTTTTATCTTACCTTATAAAATCTCTCTTGACTAGGGGTTTTCCGTTTTTTTTTTTTTTTTTTTTTTTACCTTTTTTTCCTTCCTGACGTGGTGGATCCCCCGGGAATTTTCTGATGGCCGGACGAAGAGGCCGTAGATAGCAGAAGCTAGGACGACAGCAGGCAGGATGACGGGGTGTGTGTGTGTGGCAGCGACGAGGGGAGCGGGCAAAGGCGACTTTTTTTAATAAATGTTATATATCAAGCCCGTCCTCGTCTCGCCGGGCTCCTCTTCCGCTCTCTCTCTCCTCCCCTTCTTCCCTTTGCTTGCCTTCCTCGCTTCGTCTTCTTTTCGTCCCATCGCTTGCTTGACGCTGCTTGGGGCTCTCTCACTCTAGGAAGACAGGCGAGCATCGAGCATCTCCCAACACCCCATCATGGCCGACAAGGAAGCTGTGCCTGTTCAGTGAGTCACCTATTATAGCTAGCACGACAAAAAAAGACCCCCTATTCAATCATACTAATAGTCTCTTAGGGCGACGGAGCAGCATGACGAGAAGCAGGTCATCAAGGATGTCGCCCAGGACCCTGTGCTCGACACCAAGGCCGGCTCTGATATTGATGCCGAGAAGGGCGAGGGCTTCGAGACCCCCGACGGCGAGGAGCCTACAGAGAGCGAAAAGTTCAACCTCAGACATATCGGCGAGAGCCTGCCCCTGTCCGCCTGGCTGGTCGCCGTCGTCGAGTTGTGTGAACGCTTCACATACTACGGCATGAACGGCCTGTTCCAGAACTACATCCAGCGTCCATTCGACGGAAGTGAGGGTGTTGGTGCTCTTGGTACGTTTATTCTTTACATTGCGTCTTCGATATATATAAATATGTCTGAGTATAGTGCTAACTGGAGTAGGCCTCGGCCATCAGGGTGCTACTGGATTGACCACCTTCTTCCAATTCTGGTGCTATGGTAGGTCCTCGTCAATTGCATAGCAATGTTGAAGAAATCTAACATTTAGTTAGTTACTCCTATCTTCGGTGCCATTGTTGCCGACCAGTACCTCGGAAAGTACAAGGCCATTCTGTACTTCTGCTTCGTCTACATGGCCGGTCTCATCATCCTCGTGGCTACCTCTGTCCACAGCTCTCTTGCCCACGGAGCTGGTCTCGGTGGATTCATTGCCTCCATTATCATCATCGGTATCGGTACCGGTGGTATCAAGTCCAACGTCGCTCCCCTGATCGCTGACCAGTACAAGCGCCGTGTGCCCGCCATCTCTACCTTGCCCACCGGCGAGCGTGTCGTCATCGACCCAGCCATCACCATCCAGAGAATCTACATGATCTTCTACGCCTGTATCAACATCGGTTCTCTCTCCCTGCTGGCCACCCCTTACATGGAGCTGTACATAGGCTTCTGGTCCGCCTACTTGCTCTGCCTCTGCGTCTTCGTCGTTGGAACCGTCACCCTCATCCTCGGACGCAAGGCCTACGTTGTCCGCCCTCCAACTGGCTCCATCATCACCAATGCCTTCAGCGCTCTCTGGATCATGGTCACCACCCGCAACATGGACGGCCCCAAGCCTTCCTACCAGGCCGAGCACGGAAACCGCCGCACCGTCGCCTGGGACGACCAGTTCGTCGACGAGCTCAAGCGTGCCCTCGTTGCCTGCAAGGTCTTCTGCTTCTACCCAATCTACTGGGTCGTTTACAACCAGTTCTCCGGTAACTTCGTCTCCCAGGCCGCTCAGATGGAGGGCCACGGCATCCCCAACGATCTCATGCAGAACTTCGACCCCATTGCCATTCTCGTCTTCATCCCCATCCTCGACCGCATCGTCTACCCGATCATGCAGAAACTTCACATCCCCTTCCCACCCATCTCCCGTATCTCCGTCGGCTTCATCGTCGCCTCTCTCGCCATGGCCTACGCTGCCATCGTCCAGCACCTCATCTACAGCGCCGGACCATGCTACGAGCACCCTCTCGCCTGTCCAGAGGGTAAGGTCAACGGTGTCGCTCTTGGCAACCACGTCCATATCGCCATCCAGACCCCCGCTTACATGCTCATCGGTATCTCCGAGATTTTCGCCTCCGTCTCCGGTCTCGAATACGCCTACACAAAGGCCCCAGTCTCCATGAAGTCCTTCGTCCAGTCCATGTACCTTCTCACCAACGCCTTTGGCTCCGCTATCGGAGAGGCCCTTGTCCCCGTCGCCTACGACCCTGCCATCAAGTGGATGTTCGTGTCTTTGGCCTGCGTTTCCTTCTCCACCGGTATCCTCTTCTTCTTCATCTTCCGTGGTCTCAACGCGAAGGAAGAAGAGATGAACAGAATGGACAAGGACAAGGTTTAGACGAGACGAGACGCAAGATGAGATGTCTGTCATGTATAGGATTTTTCTAATTACCATTGTTTCTTATATTTTTTTTATCTCTTTTCCTTTCTCTCAGCTCTGAATACGAACTAGTTTCATAAAACTAGATACCTGCATGTTTACCTGTGAAGTCTTTATCTTCACCTCCACCTTCACACCCCCGAAGGATGTACATATAGAAGCATTCTAATGAATCAACCGCTTCTCCATGCCTCTTCCTCTTGTAGTCATCCCATCTTTCTCCATCGTCGTCTCCATCGCCAACTTCTCACCCAGCCAGCTCGTGTGATCTTCGGAATGTAACCTTCAACGGGGTCTGCTTATGTAATTACCTCCCTTCCTACCAATAACAAACGCGCGCTTTCAAAACTTCCAAGGAAAGATCTTCGATCTCCAAACCTCATCGACTCTGACCTCACCCACCACCACCGGCTGCTGGTTGGCTGGGGGCTTGGTTACATGCAAAGCGCCGTCTTCTTTGCTTTTTTTTACGATCTATCAGATGCGGTCTCTGCCAGGCTTATTTTCTATCCTGCTCGTTCACCCGACGCTAGGAGGAGCGAGCGCAGGCTCTGTGTGACTCTCCCGCTCCCCGTCTGTCCAACGCGCGCGTGGTCCCTGGCTGGACTTTGTGTGCTGTGAGTACATGTCAGGCTGGTTGATGGGATGGCTGTCAGCATCAGTACGGCGGCGGTCTCATGGTAGACTGCCCGAGAGCTCGCCTGCATAGGGGAGGGCGGATGATGCTGGCAGTCCTGTCAGTGATAGCTGTCAACAAGCAATTAGTGACGGTGACGGTGACGGTAGAACACTGCACTGCAGAATACCCTCTTCCCTCCCCTCCCACCCCCTCCACCGAGTCAGCCAGAGGAGGATGAAGTCCTCGCAGGATGGGGGTTCGCTCCCATCCATATTAATTATAGAACCTCGTGGCTTTGTGAGATGCGACCCTGGGAGGCGTCCAATCCAAGCATCAAATCACACACACTCCAAGTGAGGGCGGGGAAGGAGGCGGATTCCTCTTTCTCTCTTTCCTTTTAACAGAGTAAGCTAGAGTTAACCGGGCTTGGGATTGTCGAACTCGGGAGCTCTGTTCGCGCTCTGAGCTGTGGTTTAGCCTGCGTAGGCTCTGGGCGAAGCAGATCCCCCGCGGACTATCTTTGCCCTTGCTTATAACGATGAGCTACAAGAGCAGCAGATTCGCTGGTTGTCGGACGCTAGTGCATAAGCCACCTGTTCCTATTCCCTGGATTTGACCACCCAGCTTTTGCACATACCAACCGAACCTGTCTCCACGAGACTCGTCTTATTTTTTTCTTCCCCTCCCTGGGCCAGCCTTACAGGGCAATGCAGTCCCTTAGTCGTCTGTTATGAAGCGATTCGGGCTTGGGGAGACTGGTTATATTACTTATCTATGATATCATGGGGCGTGATCATTTGCACGACCTGCCAGACCGGCGTGGCTGGGGAAAGCAAAAAAAAGGTGTCCGGTCATTGTGCAACCCAGGCTGTGTGCATACATGCGTGCGTGCGTATGGACTTACATACCATACATGCTTTGCCGCAAAAGCAAAGCCAACGCCGTGTACGGAGTACTGGAAATGAGGAAACAATGCAATACTTATAATTGAAAGACACAGACCCAAAGATGAGCAAAGCGAAGCAAACGAAAGAGAATCACAGGAAGGTAAAGAAGTAGAGGGGAAACAGCAAATTAGCTTCCTCGCAGGAAAGAATATGCGCGAGCCTCGTCACCCGTTAGCTAAACACCGGAGATACGGATGTGCGGGTGCATGCAATCTGGTCTGCCTACACCTACACCTTCCGCCTCCCCCATCCCCCAAGCCCAGCCTTGACACTGGTCGTGATCAATATGCAGACGAGCTTTCGGTCGCCGTGACCTGCCATGGGTGCTCGTCATTGGTATGATGATCAGTATCATGGTACCTGGGCCGAACCAAAATGAAGAAAAAAGAAATACTACTGGATGAGAAAAAACAAAACTGGAAAACGGGTGTGCCGCTGAAGGTGCTCTCCATCTATCTATCTGCCTGTCCGTCTATTTATACCCCCTGTGGCATACTTTGAATTGTTTTGGATTCTTCCTTCCTTCTTTTCTCACTACCTCTCTCTTATATATAGCGTCGTACCTCCAACCAGCCTGGTTTCCACTTAACGCCCAAATCACAATTTCAATATTTGCATTTTATCTAGTTTTTGAAGCTTGAGAGTATCATTCCCTTTTACAATATCATTACACTACTGCCATCATGGGAAACATTGTGGGATACCGTTCCGTGGTCTACTTCGTTAACTGGGTATGCGTCGATATTTGCCCTTCTGTTTAAATGTGAAATATTGCAAGCCTATTTGCTAACCTTTATGGTCGGCTATCAGGGTATCTATGGACGAGCATTAAACCCAGCTGATCTCCCAATCGACAAGTTGACGCATGTTCTTTATGCTTTTGCCAACGTCCGTCCAGAGACTGGAGAAGTGTATGTCCTATCCAGCTCCATAACTATACCATAGTCTTCGCTATATACACTATATATCATATTAACAATACAATAGCTATCTTTCCGATACCTATGCCGATATAGAGAAGCACTACCCCGGAGACTCATGGAGCGAACCGGGAACCAACGTCTACGGATGCGCCAAACAGCTGTTCCTCCTGAAGAAGCAGAACCGTAACCTCAAGGTTCTTCTTTCCATTGGTGGATGGACATATTCCGCCAACTTCCCTAAGGCTGCTAGCACCGACGCTGGAAGAAAGAAGTTTGCTGAATCCGCTACCAAGATTCTTCTTGACTTGGGCTTTGACGGTTTGTTGTTCTCAGGATAGATACCCTTTGGATGCACCGTGACTGACTTTGCTTTTGCAGGCCTTGATGTTGACTGGGAGTACCCCAAGGGTAGGAGCTTCTTGAACTTTTAATTTGGATGGGCACTGCTGACTTCCAATAGATGAGACTGAGGCCAATAACCTGGTCTTGCTCCTGAAGGCTTGCAGAGAGGTATTTATTCTCCCGAGCACACCATTACAGCTACAGAACCATGTAGCTAATATACCTATAGACTCTTAATGCCGCTCAGAAGAATCGCAAGTTCCTTCTCACTGCTGCTGTCCCATGCGGTATGTATATCCATACACCATTGCACTAAATGTCACTTATTAATCTTGCTTTCTAGGCCCCGTCAACTATGAGAAGCTTAAGCTCAAGGAAATGAGCGCTCAGCTCGACTTCTTCAACCTCATGGCCTACGACTTCGCCGGTGCCTGGGATAAGAACGCTGGACACCAGGCTAACTTGAGACCATCCAAGTCGAACCCCTCCAGCACCCCATTCTCTACTAGTGCTGCAGTTGACTACTACACCAATAACGGTGGCGTGCCCAAGAGCCAGATTGTTCTTGGAATGCCCTTGTACGGACGTGCTTTCACCAACACCGATGGCCCCGGCAAGCCATTCCAGGGAGTTGGCCAGGGAAGCTGGGAAAACGGTATCTGGGACTACAAGGTCCTGCCCAAGGATGGAGCCCAGGAGAAGAAAGATGACGAATGCGGTGCCTCTTACAGCTACGACCAGGCCAGTCGTACCATGATTTCCTACGACACCATCCCCATGGTCCAAGATAAGACCAAGTGGGTTATCGACAACGGTCTTGGAGGCGGAATGTGGTGGGAAGCCAGTGGTGATAGAGGTGGTAAGAATGCCACCAAGGATGGCGGAAGCTTGATCGCTACCTTCGTCGAGGGTGTCACTGCCAATGGCCAGAAGGGTTTGGAGAAGTCCCAGAACTCCATCGAATACCCCGAGAGTCAATACGAGAACTTGAAGAAAGGCTTTCCCTGAAGTCTTTTAACACCGACTACAGACAAACCCTGCCTGTTTGTTCCCATTATCGTTCTTCCTTCTCTAATTTTTTTTGATATTTATCATTTTTTAACCACTATGCCGAGACTTGGTGTCTAGGAATCCTTCTGTTGGGTTTGTATGTCGCATTTGGCTACATGCTACACTGTGCTATACTCCCTGGCAGTTTGACGTTTGCCTTCAGACTCCGTTCATACCCCTCTTGATGATCTATCATGATTTTTTTTTTTTTTGATGTACAGTTATATATTTTTGATACTCGCGTGTATACAGTGCGTGTCACTCGTTTAGACATTCCAGGAATGAATGTTTTTATACTTTGTTGACCAAGATCATTTCCTTTCATTGATGTTCATGAATCTAGCTCAGCTACTGAACTGTATAATCAACGCTGGAAGGTAAATCCTCCCATGCCTTCATAGATAAAAACAGCAACTTTCAACATAGCTCATCCAGTCACATCATTTCAAGGCTCACTCGTCAATCGGCCAAGTGTGGATTTACTTGGACTCATCGAAGACGTAGGTGAGATGGCACTTGCCGCAGTATTGACGGTTGTGCATAGCAGCCATGAAGATACCGGCACCGCACTAGAAATATACGGTCAGCCACTTGAGTCACACACACACATGCATTTGAGGGGTGTGTAGCATAAAACTAACCTCGGGGGTAGGGCACTCGCGTCTGAGACGCTCAATCTTGCCGTCGCCGTCAACCTTGTAGTACTTGAGCACAGCGAGCTTGGTCTTCTTGCGCTTGTGCTTGATCTTCTTTGGGGTAGTGTAGGTCTTCTTCTTGCGCTTCTTACCACCACCACGGAGACGGAGCACGAGGTGAAGGGTGGACTCCTTCTGAATGTTGTAGTCAGAAAGAGTACGCCCGTCCTCGAGCTGTTTTCCTGCGAAGATCAGACGCTGCTGGTCTGGGGGAATTCCCTCCTTGTCTATTCGCACAACATCAGCACATTGCTCGCATTTTCCCAACCCCGCCGCCGGTATTCTTTAGGGTATATCTTACCCTGGATCTTGGTCTTGACATTGTCGATAGTGTCGGAAGACTCCACCTCAAGGGTGATAGTCTTACCCGTAAGGGTCTTGACGAAAATTTGCATCTTGACGAAAGGCCTGGTTGTCGCAAAAAGTGTTCCAATTAGTCTATGGTTCAATGTGCAGGCGGTCTTGCGTATTCGTCGTAGATACAAGGATAGAGCACAGGGGATTAATAGCGAGTCTTGACATACCTAGACAAATTGTCTTCCTCAACCTTTCAATATGCAAATTGGTGGTGGACGAGAGGGAAAGGGAAGAGAAGCTCTCCTTCTTTTTCCCACCAAAAATCTTTAAAAAGCCGAAAATTAGTTTTCGCGAGTGTGGATCATGTGACTAGATCTAAGTCATGTGACATAATTACCTAATATTGAGATTAGGTTTCGGCGCTAGGCTAGATCGGGCGTTGCCTGGACGACGCGCTTATTTACGACCTCGAACCTCTTCAGCTTGTATCAAAAGGAGCTCTTGGGCCCTTCAGGATGTCATCGTCCATTTCTCTGGGTAGACTATGCACATATTACTTTTTTAAAGCATACAAGCCATTTCACGCCCTCTCTGTCTGTTGTTTATCTGCTATTTATCTCTTGTCTTTCCTTGCACAACTAAAGAGTGGTTAGCCGCCAGCTCTAGCTAGCTCGGTGCAAGACGCTTTCATCTAAAGCTCACAAACACCATTACGACCATTTAACGCATTCAGTACTTTCCGTTTCATTGTTTAATACAAGCCAGAGACGCCCTCAAAGGCAATGACCCTCACTTGATATTTGATTTTGTCTCGGTAACTGTCTCTTTACCCCTGCAAAGAATTGAGCTATTTGACTTGGTTTATCAGAAGACACCGGTGAACGCAATGTTGCAGAACTTTTCATTCCCGCCAGAGCCAGAGGGCTCGAAGGACGTAGCTTCTCTGGCTTCCAGAAGACATTTCGCCCCGAGACCAATTGCGCCTGCGCCAGCTGGTGGACGGGGCTGTCACCGAAGAGGCCTGAGTCTTGACCAGGGTGTGGCACGACACCAGCAAAATGCATCAATGTATGGGCATGAGATGCACGATTGGTCTCGATGGTTGGATATAGGGGATTATAACAACCATCTTAACTCGGGAGTTCAACGCCCAATAACACCACTTCAGCCAATTGAGAATAGTAAGTTGCTCATACCATGTTTGCACTATGCACGACTGACATTATCATGACTTAGTGGACTCTTCATTATTAACACCAGCAACAACCCCATGCTGGAAGCCATCGACCGCCTTTCCACGAAACTGCAGAACTGCTCACTCATCTCCCACGAAGAGAGTTCCTCCGCCCCTACTCCCTCGAAATGGAGAATCAATGCAAAGAGCAAAGTCATTTCAAGGCTCTGAGAATGGCTACAACCCGAAACAGAATTCTAAGGGGTTTGAAGGCCCTCCAGAGTTCCGTCTACCTGAACCTCTCGAATCAAAAATGCCCACAACAGATGATGATATCTTCTCAGACCTAACTTTCGATTCCTTGCATAACTCTGATCCTTTCACTCTGGGAGGTTTGCCATCACCAACTATGACCTCTTTCTCATCACAGCCCGAACACTCAAAGGAGACTGCAGTAGAGCTCCCTGACCAGAAAGCAAAGAAAGTTCCCATTGCTCCAGCCTCGACTGCCGCCTTGCCAACAAGGTCAAGACCGGCCACCTCAAGTGGAACTACTTCTCCCATCAAGGCAGCATTAGCTCCTCGTGTGGTTACGATTGCTGATCTTAAGCTGGATGCCAGCATCGACGCCTCCCTAGAGGAAACTGGAATTACGCTTGAGGATATATGTGGGTATATTGAAGGTCCCGATCCGGTAGACAATAAGTGGATATGTACCTTCGACGGATGCATGAAAAGGTTCGGGCGGAAAGAAAACATAAAATCTCATGTTCAAACACATCTTGGCGACAGACAGTTCAAGTGCAACCATTGCAACAAGAGTTTTGTTCGAGGCCATGACCTGAAAAGACATGCAAAGATTCACACGGGCGTCAAACCATACCCTTGCGACTGTGGGAACAGCTTCGCACGACATGATGCTTTAACTAGGCATAAGCAGCGTGGAATGTGCAGCGGTGCATTTGTTGGAGCTGTGAGACGAGCAGAGCGACGTGGTAGACCAAGGAAAGAGAGACCTAAATATGGAGAGAGACGCGAGAAAGCAACCCGGGCAAGGCAACGGGAGAAAAAGAAGGCCTCGAGCCCATCAGTTCAGGAGCATTCATCGAGTTCTTCTGCACCGTCGCCGGAAAGCGAAAATTTGGAGGCTCCAAGCACCAGAGAGCATAGTCCAGTCAAGGATATGCTATTTCTGGACATGGAATCGATTTCCTTACCCCCTGACGTTTTCACATTTACGCCCCCTGCGTCCCCCAGCTATAGCACTGGAAATATCGGCTCACCCGCCCGTAGCTATTATTCCACTTCCCAGGAACCAGATGAAACGCCGCTGTGTTTGTCTCCTTCAAAACGATATCTTGCCGACATCCCAGAGGAGATCATTGAGCCTCCATCTTTCGAATGTGGATCGCCCACACCCGTCAAGCGCGAAACGAAAAAAGACCTGATAGGATCACCATGCCGAACTATCTGGCCAACCAACCAAGGACCCACTCTTACTGAGGACTCAAATAGTACCGAATTTGATGACGTTTTCTCAAGCCATGCAAGTACATCGGCCTTCGACCCCGACCAACTCCCTCCTCTGGGGCCTCAGTCAACAACAGGAATATCAGAATCTGGCTCGTCGCAGTATGACGATGAAATATTCCTGAATCACTTGAACAGCGAAGCTCCGAACCTAGACAGTGACTATTTCCCTCTATCCTTGTCACCAAGCACAGACGCCTTTTTTGATTCATTCACGACGGAGCTGAAATAACACCAAACGTCCAAGTTTTCTCCGCGATCAACTCTAGTTTTTGTCCCTAATTTTGGCAGTTTATTTTTTTCCAGCAATTTGATATTCGAAGGGACGACGGCGAAATGGTGTATGTGTGGCACGATTGATTTCCTTGACTGAGGTTTATAGATATCCTTTTCTTCTTTCCTTGCGTTTGAGTGACGATTTCCATGTCAGATTTTTAGCTGGTCTCAATTTCGAATGACGTTTTGGGATGTGTTAATGTGTTAAGTTGTATGATAATAGTCGAGCCATTAGCCTTTCATTTGTTTACTATCCGAATCACATCCAGGTTTTCCATGGTCTTCTTGCCTGTGAGCTTTTATAATGGAATTTGGGTATCTCTAATATCACTGATATCATAATGGAAGAGCTTGTATACAAGACATATATTTGCATATGCATGTAATCTATCGCAAATGCGCTTAAAATCAAATGGTATCTGTACAAAAAAGGAATGGGCGGATACGCTGGAGGCAAGTGACCGCGGATAGAAGAGTAAAGGATTGGAGTGGAGGGGGGTGTTAGGAAGAGAGGGTGTTTCCATCGGTAATGTTTTCTCTATTCTCTTTCATGGCAGCTAGCTCCTGTTTTCTCTCTTTCCAGAGTCTTAGGACTTCAAAGCAAACTTCGACTGCAATCAAGAGAATAATTGTCCATTCCAACCGGAGTCCATGAGTTTCACTCAAGCGTTCACGTAAGACACTTGCAATCTCTTGTGCGTAATCCATTTTTTCGTTTAGCACCTTGATGCGAATTCCAACATCCAGAGCTTTTCCAACTTGGTCATAATTCCCTTCTAATCCAAGCTCGTGTCGGCTATCCCAAAAGATATCTGGAAGAGAGTCTGTTAATTCTGAATACAGATTCAATTGCGCCCTGAGGCTGAGTAGCTGGCCAGTTTTACGCAGTATAAAACTGCGAGTATAAGGTAATCGAGAACCCTTGGAGAGTTGCGTGGGTATATTTCGTGTAGAATCAAAGTAGTTCAGTAGTAAACTTTCTAATA